GGATTTGGATTTGCAACCAGACAAGGTATTAATGATGGTTGTGATCATTCATGGGCAAAATTCCAATAGGGGTTCTGCTTGTTTCTGTTTCATTTAAATTACTTTGTTGCTTAATTTAATTTGGGCTTTACTGTTATATGTTACTGTTGAACAACATTGAAATCTACCTTTGTTTTTCGTAATTATTTTCTATCATTTACAGCAATTCTGGTCCCATAGTAGCGTTAAGAAGAACAAGGCGATGGTGGAGAATTTGCAGAGTTATGGAGTGATTAGCTCCAAAAAGGTTGTTGAAGTGATGGGGACTATTGATAGAGCTTTATTTGTGCCTGATGGGGCCCCACCTTATGTTGACTCCCCCATGGCAATAGGTTATAATGCCACCATTTCTGCACCTCATATGCATGCAACATGCCTTCAGTTGTTGGAAGAGAATTTGCAGCCTAATATGCGTGCTTTGGATGTTGGTTCAGGTGCTCATCTATGGAATTTTTATTATAACATGTTAATATCATGTGTTTATGTCTTTATAGTTAGCACATTCTTGGAAGTGAAATGTCACACTCACATTTGACCATTTGAATACTATGGAAACCTGAATTCTTTGCACTAGCTGTGCTGCATCTTGAAGACTGTACTAGAGATCCTGAATTTCCTTTACTGTATTTTGCTTTGCAGGGACGGGATATTTGACAGCTTGTTTTGCCTTGATGGTTGGGCCACAAGGTCGTGCAGTTGGTGTAGAGCACATTCCTGAGTTGGCTTCTTCCTCAATCGAGAATATCCAAAAAAGTGCAGCAGCACCATTATTGAAAGAAGGTTCCCTCTCAGTGCATGTCGGTGGTATGTTTCCCGAAACCCAGTGTTACACTTTTGAAATTGAAACTAAGAAAAAGAAAATCATTTTTCAATTGAAGCTAAATGAAGAGTGTATACCACCCGGATTAGTCTTAGAAATTACTTGCATGACTATGGTACCCATGCGGGCTGGTTCCATGATATGAGTTGAGGGTTGTTGTTTTAGAAATTCATAAAATGGATTCAATTCTTGTCGGGCTTCAAGGAAAGTTGGAAAGATATTTGAAATGTTTGAAAGCTTGTAGAATTATTCTTTCCTGTTATGTTTTGGAGATGAAAAACCGTTGGGTGTGCTCCTCCCATTCAATTTCCCTGTCTCTCTGGACTTCTTTCTTTAATCATTTTCTGTTCATGAAATCTATATTCTAGGACTTCCTCTGATAATTTCATTTTGTTAGAGTGAAATAGCTTAGTCCTTTTTGGGTGCTGAGAGGATCATACTTATCATGCCTTGATTCTAGCGTAATCTCCATCTTGTCGGTTTGTAATGAAAACTCACTCAGCTTAGTTTGCGCACCAGTAACAAAACACCAGTTTTTCATCGAATATGATTCAAGGGAATTGCCAGTCAAGGCCTATAACACTTTTACTAAACATATTTGAGCTCCATACACTGGTTGCCGAAGTTTTGCTGCCATTCACCTGAAGTATATGCTCAAGTATTTCCACCCATGATACCGGTCTTTTTCTAGAAAAAAAAAAATGCATCACCTTAAGACACGATTTTACCACTGCCAAATGCTAATTACTCGTTTTATTGATTTGATAAATTATTGTTGCAGATGGAAGGCTAGGTTGGCCAGAATTTGCACCTTATGATGCCATTCATGTTGGTGCAGCTGCACCAGAAATCCCACAACCACTTATTGACCAGTTGAAGCCCGGAGGCAGAATGGTGATTCCAGTGGGAAACATATTCCAGGATTTGAAGGTTGTGGACAAGAACTTGGACGGCTCTATCAGTGTCCGGACTGAAACTTCAGTTCGTTATGTTCCTCTCACAAGCAAAGATGCTCAGTTGCGAGGCTCTTGAGGCCTGCTACTGGCTAACTATTTGTGCATAGATGATTTTCTGGTTTCTCTTCGCAGTAATGGTTTGCTTTGGTATAGTTTGTTCCCTTGCCACTGTAAATTCCCTTAATCTCAAGCGTGTTCAAACCTGTTGCCTGTTTGTGGCTAAATGACTTAAATATAAGGCATGTAGCTTCTGCTATATCTGAAATGTTGGTTCTGATTTTCAGTTCTTGAATGTTTAAACCCGCATTGCACTATGCGTTTTTCTTGCTACAAAAGAGAATCTAAAAGTACAAGGCTTTACATCCACTGACATACAATACAAATGAAACTATTTCATTATAATGACGTTCAAATGCTCCATTAGCTGATCAAAATAAAATAACAACCACATCAGTAGTGCCCCAAAATTAATGGAGTCAAACTTGGACACTATATATCGTTTCCAACAAGAACAACACTTGTAAAGTAGAAATCATAAAAACCTCGCTGAAAAACAGCTGACACAAAATCTCATCTAAAGAAAAAGGAACCAAAACAAGAACTTAGGTTTCATCCCTGTTAAGTCAGTAGGGGCTGCGCCTTTGTCTTTCTTCTGCAACATTTACTCTGATCGCCCTTCCATCCAGACTCTGCAGCACAAGACAACTCAAGTAAGACAGTTTATATCGTATCCAAGATTCACCGATGAATCCATACAACATTTCCATCAACTACGTTTTTCACCCCTATGTCAATCAAGTCCATTAGGCAAAATTTGACAAACCATATCAGGCATAATTAACTTAAAGTATGTCAATTCAACCTAAGAATTTGGTCCATCATTACACGAATGATGGATCCCCTTTTCCTAATGAATCAAGGTTGAAAATGTAAAAGCTTAATACCTGTCCATCTAGAGCAGCAATGGCATCATTCATTTCGTTTTCACTGGCCATTGTTACAAAGCCAAAACCACGCGACCGTCCAGTTTCTCTGTCAAAGACTACTCGTGCCTCCACCACGCTACCATGCTCACTGAAGACCTGCTCCAGTTGACCATTATCCACATTCCATGGAAGGTTACCAACATAGATTCTAAACGAAGGTTCAAATGAACGGGGTGCGCGTTCTTGGCGTGTTCCTCTTGGAGCAGCTCTATTGACAGTCAAGAGCCTTCCATTTAAATCCTATCACAACAGTAAACACAAAAAACTTAGAAGCAATCAACACAATCCTTAAAATATGAAATAAAATGCTTTTATAAAAATGAAAAAATAGTATGGAACATTGCGTGCAGTACACTTGAATAATACTATATTCATATGCACCAGAAGTTGAATGAGCGATGGACATTACCTATGGGCATTATGCTTTACTACAAAAGACATTCTGGGAACCTATTGAGCACTACTCAGGACATATTCTCTTATAATCAGAAGTTCTATACTAATTCTGAGAACTACCTTCAAGATTACCACAACCCATACTAGATATATGAATATAGAACCAATTGCTTATGGCTACACTCAACTTTCGAGTTAAACCACCAGCACCCTAATACAATGCATTATCGGTTACCCTCCACAAACATAGCCCATGCTGTTCAGCCATCAATTCACATCATTTATCCTAATTTTCTTAATCTTTCAAAATAATCTAATTACTCATATTGAGTTTATTCCATCTTGTATGCATGCCATAAATTTACAGAAATCAAAATCACCAAAAGAGCACCAAAAACAAACCACACTTAAAGAAACAAAATTTATAAACAACTTACATAACGACTGAACAGTTCCACAGCCTTATCAGCTTCTTCAACGGTACTCATAGTCACAAATCCAAATCCACGACTCTGCTCAGTATCCCTGTTGTAAATGACCTACAAAAACAAAAGAGAAATAAAAAATTTCACCCACATATCTAAACCTCACAAATTTCACAACAACATCGAAACCCAAAGACACAAACTTTATGAAACAAAGCAATTAAAACTCACCTCTGCAATCTCCACAACTCCAGCCCTCTCAAAGAGCTCAGCCAATTTCTGACTATCAACATCATAAGGCAAATTCCCAACAAATACCTTGGCCTCCTCAGGTGGCTCAACATTCGCCTCCTCTTCCCTCTCTGCAAAGACCCCTTCTTCACCACTCTCTGCTCCTTCGTCTTGGTCAATGGTAAGTGTGCTGTCTTCTTCTTGCTGAGCCCAGTCTGAGGTCTGGGCCACAAAAGAGACTATGGATGAGAACTGGGTTTTGTTCTTGAGGGACAGAGGTGGTGAAAAGAGTGAAGCATGAGTGTACGTGAGGTGGAGTTTAATGGGTTTGGATGGGATTGAGAGAAACGAGTTGGCGGTTTTGGTGGAGGAGAGGTAGGGTAAAGAGACTAGACATGAGTCTGCTATTGACAAGGTCTTGAACAAATTTGAGGTTGCAGAAGCCATTTTCTGTGTTGAGAGGAGAAGATGGAGGAGTGAAGGGTTTTAGAGAAGGGGGGTGAGGATAAGGGTGGGAGCAGAGGTCCTGGAGGAGTCGAAGGAAAGGGCTTATTGGGAGAGAGAGAGAGAGAGAGAGAAGGGGATTTTCTTTTATGGGCACATAAAAGCATGTACGGGCTTTTAGATTTAGATGTATCATATAAGAGCCCAATTCTAACTCATTGCTTCATGGAAGTCCAGCCCAACTACTTTTCTACTTTTAAAATTTTTATAATTTAAAAAAAAAAAAAAAAAATCTCTTTGGGGATATAAAATTCAGTATTATCATGTGTATATAATTTTTTTGTGCACTTATATTATAACACGTGAGTAATTAAGATTACACCCAAACACTCTTTTTACACTTATATTATAACACTTGAGTAATTCAGATTACACCCAAACACTCTTTCTAACCAATAACATCCACTTCATATTTAGTGAATAAAAAGAGATTTAATGGCATATTAAAGGGTATAGATTATATCTCAGTTGATTTGTTTTAGCAATTCAACTTGCAAGCTATGACTGTATGATTATAGAATGTTTTGGAGCATCTAAATGTAACACGAGACCATATCACATGGGATGAGCTGAATTTTATATAATGGATCAGAATATGGAAAGATTAAGCTTATGTAAAATACATGACACTTAAATTGCTTCAAACAAAGTTTAGAGCCCCTCAGGAGCTGCAGACTTGCAGTCGCAAAACTCAATACACAATTTCAATCTCTCTTACACTGCATTGGCCATGAAGTTTAAGTAGCAACAAACCATTCTTGGCATTGTAGACTATAAACTCCTCTTTCTTGTCCACAATACAAGACCTTGGTTTTTTGTTGGAGTAGGCTCCAAATCGACCACATCCTCGGATTCGGACCTTCACCACACATTCAGAAAGTTCATTTTTACAATGCAGAGATTCAATGGCTCCTCCTGAGTTGTACATATGAAGCAATCCAATTGGGGCAAATTGAATATAGGGACCAAAAACCTGTTGTAATTTACCACTATTTCAGTCCACTTTGTAAAAACTCAACACAAGAAGCTGAATAGAGAAAATGTAGTATAGTTGACTGACCCTAAGAAAATGGTATGTGTAGCCACAAGTTTCATACTGAAACAAGGTGGTAGTGTGACCTGAATAGAATGCATATACTGCACACTCTCCTCTCCAACTTTCATTTGTAACCTCTTCAAGCAAATCGACATCTAAGGGGCTGACAAGGCCGGAAAGAGGCAGTGGTGTCGATTCTGAGAGAGGCTCATATGGAGCACCGGCGGTTGGTGGCCACTTCCTGCTCTTTGGCAATTGAACACACCAATGACTCCTGAGAACTTGTTTAAATTCCAAATCTTCAGTAGACTGCAGTGGACCAATGTAATAGATGGTGAAGATCATGAGAGTGAGACGATAAATTAAAACTGTTAATGTAAAAGAAAAAAAATTGTTATGGTTTGGTGTGACATATTACCTCTTTCCATCTAGGACTGGATCACTGAATAAACAGTCCCGAGCAGGACAGCCAGCATATCTAGCCCTTAGAATAGAGCCATCAGGCAGTACAAGCTTTTTAAGAACATTGAAATTATGGCTGCCTGGCTTGTCACTGCACATGTTCTACGAAAATTAATATGCGAAAATTGCATCGATGAATTGGAGTCTTTCTAGTTAACTTGTGACTGACCTTACATATACTGGACATCCCCCCAATGCCCTTGCTGCAGCATGGAACTTAGCTGTGTAATGGGCACTCTGAAAATGCAGAAGAAAGATAATTAGGAATTAATTTAGGTGCTAATATATATACGAGTTGGATAAGTAAATCAAAGATATGTTAGCAGAATTCATCTTACAAAGAACATGTCCCAATCTGGAACCGCAATCTCTCCCATGAGAAGACTGTTAAAAGCTACAGCAGCAACATGTAGGGTCTGAAATGTTGGCTCCATTGGCATGAAATCCTCTGATACCCTAGTAGCTGCACCATGCTTTGAGCTGAAAGCAAAACAACACAACACAACTCATCTAATCAAAACTGATCAATTACTTTTTCTTTTTTTTTTCTTTGTTGATGTCAAAGATTCAACAAATTAACCTGTAAATGTAGTCGTTGCTAAGGCTCATGCCGCAAATAAGGTTATTGCGATGGAAGTTTCTTATAAGAGATTCCTCAAGGGCTTCTTGGTACCGCCTCATCAATTCGACACGGCCTCCATAACCAGAACCAAGAAGTTCCAGTACATTCTGCACATCTGCACATCCTCCTTAACTCCATCTACATTGCAACTTGCAAGGTAGCTATGAAGATCGTCATAAAACCTATAAATATTTGAGGGGACAATCATGCCAATCCCATATTTCTCCATGGAGCCAAGGGTTGTACAGATAACATGACTCATGTTTCCAGGGGACTGAACTATGCGTTTGATCCAGGGGTCGTATTTCCTCATTTCTTCAGATGTTGGAAGTACCCCTCCCCAAGAACCAATTAAAGCGTGCCACGCATATACTAATCTGCATTTTAACTCATAATGTTTGATTAATCATGTACATTTTTCACAAATGACTCATAAATGACTAATCTGAATTCATAAAAACTGCTTCTGTTACTTGGGAGGTTTGGACTTTGGGATCTCCTGAGGCACAAATAAAAAAACCACAAAACTCAGAAATATTGGATAGAATCAAAAGGCAGAACAAATCAAAACCGCATTGATCAACATCCAAAATAAAGTTGCATAAATTGAACGAACCGCTTTCGATGCAAAATTCAAGCTCATGTACAGTCTTCCCTTGCAAACTAGCCCTGAATGGTCCATCCAAGACTGGTAATAACAGAATGCACAAACTGTTCTCAGTTGTTGGCTCAGATAGCCCATTTTGGACAGTGGATTTTTCTCTTGTTTCCAAGAGGAGCATTTGAGTTTCTGCTGGAACTTCACAGTCTGAATCTCCGAAACTCGGTATCATCCACCAGAGCTTGAATCTGAAGAGACACATAAACTTGTACCCCCTGCAATGCACACAAAATTATTCTTTAAAAAAAAAAAACAAATGTTTGACATATATATATTCAACAACAAAAATTTTGTTAAACATACTCAAGAACCCCAAAAGAGAAGACATGACGAGAGCTAGAGTTTGAAGAAGAAGCTCCAATGAAAGCAGCCTCATCGGCAGCAGGTGCGACAGTTATGTTTCTTGGAACATGAGACAGAACAACTTTGTCCCGGACCATGAGGCAGCCATCTTTGATGCTTGGGACAGTCATTTTTGCTAGTTGCTTCACAAACTTCAACTTTTCAATTATATATCGTGGATGATCTAGCGAGCGAGCAGGGTTTTATACATCCATATATGAAGAACATGAGCTCATATCAGATGACCGTTGCACCGCACCGAAACAAAGACCAGAAAATTCTGAGACCGTCACACCGACCGCACAAGGCCAGTTTCATGGTGACATGCGTCTAATATATTAAATATGTTTAAATAATATAGCTGCGTGAATGCATTTAAGCAGTATAGCCGCGCGGCTATACTATTTAAATATATTTAATATGATTAAATAGTATAGCTAAACATATTTAATAATAATTAAATAGTATAGCCTATATATATAGAAACAGTCCTATAGAACCACCTGAAAGGAAAGAAAAATACGAAAGTGTTCCATTTCATGTCTCCAGAGCATTCTGTAATTTGGTTGATAAGTAAGCTCCCTAATATGACCAAGGCAAAGGAAGGTAGGATTTGACTATAGTTTCATGGGGTATTATAGTAAATTGGCCTATTTCGGAATAAGAAAAAGGATCTCATTTAAGAAACTTCATCTCTCTCTCTGTATATGTCTTTAAGACACATAAAACAAAACACACCGGTGTAAGAGGAAGTACTATATTTGCTGACATAATAAGAGTGTTACTAAAACAATATTTCTGGTAATGGTGTTATTTTACAAGGAAAATTGAGAAAAAAAAAAATTTATATGGAACTACAAGATAGTACATTATTTGTTGAGGCCTTCTACATCATCCGCTCAAGAAGGATGAAAAAAGAGGGCTTGGCTCCTAACGTGAACTAAGTCTCCAAAGTAGGGCTTTCCTTTTCCTCCAAGAATGCTTAAAGAACGACAAGCTTCCGCCCTTGAGGCTTTTTTTTCTTCTTCTTCCCCGCAAAGTGATAAAGAGAGAAGCCTGCAAGAGATAAAGAGAGATCCTTATTTTTTTTATAGCATCGAAGCGTCTTCGGCCGGTACCACATTGGTACCTTAGGTCTCACCTCCAGCTACTATATTCTTCCTTGCAGATTGCCCTCAGCCTGCCGAAGGGAGCACCCTATCGAAGGCAGAACCTCATCTATTAAAATAAATAGTTCATAAAACGTTCATAAAGCACTCATAAACCTCATCATGAAAAGAAATAGAAAAAGAAAGAGTTCATAAAGCACAATACTAAGGTACCCAACTCATACATAAAAAAATATAGGGAATATAAAAAAATTCACAAAGTTTAAACAAAAGAGGAAGAGAAAGAGAAAGAAAGGTTAAAACTTTACCCTCCGTTTTGATGAAGGAATTGAAAATTACATAGAATTCTAAAATGACGGAATTTAGATTTCCATCATTTCAATTTCATAGCAATTGAAGATTTCAGTGTTTGGATTTATGTATGTTGAATTTTGTAAATGATAGTATGGAAATTGTGAAATGATGCCTATTTTGGTGGAAATAAAACTCGGGAATTTGATGCCCCAATTTTCACAACTTTTTCCGCACTTCATTTAATAAATTCCGCGCTTAAGTTGCCAAACAAGAGAATTGTCAATTTCTTCTCTTAAATTCCCAATTTTTAACTAAATTCCGAGTTATTTTTTCTCATCCAAATGGAGGGCAGGAGTTTTCAGTGCAAGTGTCATAAACTAACCTAGAAGATTTAAGGGAGATGAGTAAAAGAGAAATCAAGAAATTTGATGGTTAATTTGTAGACCAAAAGAATCTAATATATTATTTTATTTTAAGGGTAAATATCCTAAAACTAACCTAATATACTATAATATTATATATCATATATAATATACACTTGCTCTCCACAATGTCAATATACAAATAGAAGATGTAAAAATAGAGTGGGGGCCTTGGACCACACTGGTCCCATGATGGCTCTGCCCCTAACAGAGATAACATTGTTTTGCTATCTCCAATCAATCACGGTATGCCACGCATGATAATTTTTTCATGTGGCATTCTGTGATTGGTCGGAAATAGCAAATCAGTGCAATCCCCGTTTCAAACTGAGACAGAAAGCAAGTGCACCCCTTGTCCCAAATAACATGAACTTGAATCATGCGAAATTTACTGGTGCTTGTCATGTCTTCCACCAAATAGTGCGGTTTAGGAAGTGACCCTTGGGTCTGTTTGGTTCAAGATTTAGGAGCTTGTGAATGAGTTTTAAATTGCATTTCCATGTTTGATAAATACACTCTTGAGAATGCAATTATGGTGGGTTTCATTTCACTCATTGTCTTAATCATAATTATGATAATTGACCATAACATCATAAACTGCAGGCCAGTTTTCTATAGCTGAGTGAGAACTTGGATGATTGGTTGCTCTTGTGCATCGCCCAATGCTCGCCAATGGCGAGCATTTTGGAAAAGTTTCCAACTTGAAATTGATGTCAAGTTAAAATTTATAAATTGGTGCCTCAGTACATATTATATATATTTCATATAGAACATTTGGCAGCACGTGGCTGTAGTCAAAGATGGCGAGCATTTTGGAAAAGTTTCCAACTTGAAATTGATGTCAAGTTAAAATTTATAAATTGGTGCTCAGTACATATTATATCTATTTCACATAGAACATTTGGCAGCACGTGGCTGTAGTCAACGATATGGAGTCCACTCTATGCAATAATTGATAGATACAAGGATCAGATCAAGACAATGTGGTTACGTAATTTTCATGAATAATGGCTTATAAAGTCAATATATACTTCATACTAAAATTCCATAAAATTAAGTTTTATTATTTGATGTGTAAGGAATAAAAGCTGCCAAAAATTATCTTGAGAAAATAATTATTCCTAAAAATGATTTTTCATACTTAGCCAATATTTTTACATAAAACAATTTTTCATATATGATATGAATGCATAAAGGGACCTAAAAAGTCTTAAATGTTCAATCCACAAAGAGTTACAAGAATAACATAACTCTTATGTATTGAAGAAATATTTGCTTAAGCCTAAGACAATACTCATAAGGGTCCAAAGTTTGAGAGCTAGAGCCCAAACGAAATGCAGATAAAGCTTAAAATCAAAATGACGATAGATCTCAAAAATGATGTAAATGCCCTGAAATGAGTAGGATTGTGCTAATATATGTCAGCTCTTACGTCGAATAGGACGAGACGCCTTGGGAGGCGAAGAGGATTGCGCTAATTTTTGGGTTTATTATTACATTCTTAGAGATATTTCAGGTTAATTGCAGTGTGTGTCTATTTTTTGAAGTTGATGCAGTTCTCTTTGATAATGAACATGAGTATTTTGTATGGTTTTATCTATTAACTATGAATTAGAATATTATTGTTTCATTTCGATTGATCTATTTTGTATATAATTTTTTTAACCTTTTACACGTTGACCCGAATGAAAATTCCTAGTTCCGTCACTGATTGAAAGCACCATGGCTTTACATGGATCTTTATAATAAGAAGCTTTGTCTTGCTTACTTGCTTATGAGATTTAAGATTCTTTGTAGCTGCAATGGAAGGAGAAGATATGACAACAAACAACAAGGAAACTTTGAGCATTGAACAAGGCCAATTAAAGGGTGACCAAGATCATGAATTTTCCCTCCCCTCTGCTCATACCATTGGCCATGGTATGTTCAGTTGTTTCAAGTCTTCTGAAGTCCTCTGCTTTTTGTTGTTCTTCATATCTGGGTTTTTGCTAAAACCAAGTTCTAAAAGAAGCAAGAAAGTCATTTGACTTCTTGTCTGTGTTTTCAAGGCATTAATTTCTTAAATGGGATTGTTGAATTGTGTTCTTTAAAGTGAATAACAAATTCCTACAGATTCATGGCAACAAGTTGGGTTGATGCTGGTGACAAGCTTCAATTGTGGGTACATATTGAGCTTTTCAAATCTTATGTTGGTGCCTTTGGGATGGACATGGGGGATCATATGCCTGTTGGTTGTGGGGTTCTATACTGCCTATGCCAACTGGCTTTTGGCTGCTTTTCACTTCATCAATGGCCAAAGGTTCATCAGATACAGAGATCTCATGGGATTTTTGTTTGGTCAGTTTCATTTACAACATATTTAACCAACAAATGATTGACTTATAGAGGAAACTGATTGTGTTTTTTCTTGTTTTTGCAATCTTATCAAAGGCAGAGAAATGTATTACATCACATGGGTTTCCCAGTTCTTGACCCTTCTTCTTGGAAATATGGGTTTCATTCTACTTGGAGGAAGAGCACTCAAGGTAATTAGTATTGGTATTACTAATTAACTCTAACACTATTAATTATATATATGCTTTCTGCAATGAGAATTATAAGTTGGCTGAAGTTCAAAGGACATGCAAACAAACAGGAGATTAACTCAGAATTCAGTGATTCTCCCCTGAGGCTCCAATACTATATCGTTGTCACTGGAGCGACCTACTTCATCTATTCATTTCTAATTCCAACAATGTCTGCAATGAGAAGGTGGCTCGGACCCTCTACCGTTCTCACTTTCGCTTACATTGTCATACTCTTGGTGGTAGTAGTTAAAGATGGTACAAAATCCTTTTTCTTTCAACTTCTTTAATTTAAAAACCTCTCCTAATTTCAGAATCATGTTCCATATATAATTTCCAATGCTTACCATTCATGCAATGATTCTTGTGAAGGGAAAGCTAACACAAAGAGAGATTATGCAATCCATGGAAACAAAGCAGACAGAGTGTTGAATGCCTTTGGTGCAATTTCAGCTATAATTGTGTGCAACACCTCCGGCCTGCTACTGGAAATACAGGTAGAATCACTAGAAATATACCCCCAAAGAAAAAGTTTAAAATTCTGATATTTCTTGCCTTTCGTCTGTGAAGTCAACTCTGCGCAAGCCTGCAGTTTCAAATATGAGGAAAGCTTTATATCTGCAGTTTAGTGTGGGGCTGGTGTTTTACTATGGAGTCAGCATGGTGGGATACTGGGCTTATGGCTCAACTGTCTCTGAATACCTTCCTGAAGAGCTAAGCGGTCCTAATTCGGTTAAGGTCCTCATAAACGCCGCCGTTTTCCTGCAATCCGTAGTCTCTCAACATGTAAGCCAGATGATGGTACACTAAAATAATAGTGACTGTACATTTGATTTTTCCTGCAGAGGCTTATATTTTTCAACTGAACTTCCATCTTTTTTGCGTCAACAGATGTTTGCTGCACCGATTCATGAGACCCTTGATACCAAGTTCCTCAAACTTGAAACTGGCATGAACACTAAAGAAAACTTGAAGAGGAGATTCTACATGCGAGCCCTTCTTTTCTCGGTGAATTCATTTGTGACAGCAGCTTTTCCTTTCATGGGGGACTTCGTGAACTTGTTTGGATCATTCACACTTGTTCCTCTAACTTTCGTGTTCCCAAGCATGATTTTCATCAAGGTAATATTGCTATACCGCACCACAATCAGGACAAAGTCCAAGCTAACTTGCTATATTATTGGCTTTCTTCTTTTCTCACAGGTGAAAGGAAAGACAGCTAGACTAGAGAAGAATTTATGGCATTGGTTCAACATTGTAATTTTTTCTCTCCTTGCTGTTGTGACCACAATTTCTGCTGTTCGATTGATCGTCAACAATGTTCAGAAATATCATTTCTTTGCAGATACATGAAGACATGTAAATTATTACAGGCATTATACATTTCAAAAATATTCATCTAAAGTAAATTATTGCAGATACATGAAGACATGTAAATTATTGCAGATACATGAAGACTTGGCATGCCTTACAATAGAAAAATATTCGTGCAATGCCGACGTGGTGTATTGAATACACACAATAATTTTTTCTTCAGATGGTCATACACCATGGGCTATTTAAGCAGACACTTGTAGCACATCCATCATAACTAGGCAGCCAATTGATTCTATTAGGACCATGGTCAAGATCTCAGTTGAACTTGACATTTCTGTCTTTCATGCATGGATTGTCTTTGTCCGTGTGGTTCTGGCCGGAGACTCCGGTACTCTGTAGTAATATGTATAGCTCCCCGTAATTCAAGTGTTATTCTGCATATTTTGAAGCGGGAATGTGGATATGGATCTTGATATTTTCTACAATTGTTCTGATTTTCAATGAAAATTTCATGTTACACATCGAAAAAATTGTTGTCAATCTCTGATTTTCATTAACAAAAGAGAAGAAAAAATCATAACCCATTTTAGATTTTCTTTTTAATATATAAGATCTTATATGAATGGAAGGAGAAGGTAAGAAAGAAGCTTGGAGCACAGAACAAGGCCAGAAAAAGGATGACCAAGATCATGAATTTTCCCTCCCATCTGCTCATACCATTGGCCATGGTATGTTCAATTCATAAGTTTCCATTCACAAATCACCCAAGAGTTCTTTAAAATCCTCTGCTTTCAGATTCATGGCAACAAGTTGGCTTCATGCGGGCAACAAGCTTCAATTGTGGATACATTTTGAGTTTCTCAAATCTTATGTTGGTGCCATTGGGCTGGACATGGGGTGTCGTATGCATGGTGGTTGAAGGGTTCTTTGAGTACAAATTATATGATTTGTGTTTTTAATTTAAATTTTTGTTTGGCCCTGTGTTTTTTAAGGCAGAAAAATGTGTCACTTCACTTGGGTTGTACAATTTGTGACCCTGCTTCTAGGAAATATGGGTTTCATTCTCCTTGGTGGAAGAGCACTAAAGGTATGCTCTAACTCAATATGCTGAGTACGTGTTTCTGCAATCAGAGCATTGAGGTGGTGGCTGATGTTCAAAGGATATGTTTCTCTGCAAACAGGAAATCAACTCAGAATTCAGTCACTCTCCATTGAGGCTCCAATGGTTCATCGCTATCACTGGAGTGACGTTCTTCATATTTGCATTTTTTATTCCAACAATTTCCGCAATGAGAGGTTGGCTGGAAGCCTCTACCATTGTCAACTTCACTTACATTGTCATATTCTTGGTGGTGGTGGTTAAAGATGGTACACAGAAAACCTCTGTTTTCCCATTTCTTTTATTTTAAACCCTCTCATAATTTCATGTCCAATAATACTGTAATAGCACAATATACATGAATTTTACAATGCTTACTAACACATGCAATTCTTTTTCTGAAGGGAAAACTAACAAACAGAGAGATTATGTAATCCACGGAAAAAAAGTACAGGTTGTTCAATGCTTTCAATGCAATTTCAGCTATAATCGTATCCAGCAACACCGGCCTGCTACCGGAAATACAGGTTCATACCTCTAGAGTAGATTCTGTGAAAAACCAATGGTGCAAAAAACAGTAAAGATTCAAATTCTGATGTTTTTATCTTTTTGGTATATGAAGTCAACTCTGCCCAAGCCAAGCAGTCGCAAATATGAGGAAGGCATTATATGTGCAGTTTAGTGGGGGGATCTTATTTTACTATGCAGTCCCCATGATGGGATAATGGGCTTATGGCTCAAAAGTATCTGAAAACCTTCCTAATGAGCTAAGTGGTCCTAAATGGGCTAAGGTTCTTATAAATGCTGCTGTCTTTCTACAATCCATAGTCTCCCACATGTAAGCCATATACTGATGATGAATGTGTAATTATTATTAGGGTTCTTTTCATTCTTCCCACCATGCATATTCTCTTCTGTTCTCATACATATCACTGCAGAAGACTTACTTTTCAACTGAACTTCAGTTTTTTTACCTCAACAGATGTTCGTTGCACCAATTCACGAGGCCCTTGATACCAAGTTCCTCAAATTTGATAAGTCCATGAACTCGAAAGAAAATTTGAAGTGCAGATTCTTCCTACGAGCCACCTTCTTCATAGAAAATACATTTGTTACCTCAGCTATTCCTTTCATGGGGGACTTTGTGAACTTGTTTGGATCGTTTTCACTTGTTCCTCTGACTTTTGTGTTCCCAAGCATGATTTTCATCAAGGTAACTTTGCTATACTGTGCTCTTCCTTTCTCAACTCACATGCCACCCCTCACCAAAGATACTGCATAATAATCAGGACAAAATGAAAGATTATAAAACCTAAGTTGCTATATTTTTGGCTTTCTTTTCTCACAGATAAAGGGAAAGACAGCTAGACCAGAGAAGAATTTATGGCATTGGTTCAACATTATTATTTTTTCTCTCCTTGCGGTTGTAACCACAATTGTTGCAGTTCGCTTGATATTCAACAATGTTCAGAAATATAATTTCTTTGCAGACATAAAGACATGTAAATTATCACAGATAATAATCATTTGATAGCATTCAAAAGATACATTGCACAACAGAAGAAGACTAATTGCAGCAAGTTCCTTATTCCCAAAAACAATTTGCAAGTAATTAATACCGTACATTGTCCACTACTTTTCTATTCCCTGTAATGATGATCTTCCATACACAATTCTCTCAGTTCAGATCCCATACCAGAACACGTCACTTTTAGACTTGGTAGCTGGCTGACGTGTTCCCAGAAGTGATAGAAATACGTTTCCTTGGTAGCTGCTCTTGGTTACTATGTGTAAGCAGGGCCTATCCTGGGGTAAGGGGGCAAGGAGACAACATAGGGTGCTCACCAGTCAGGGTATCTGCTCTCCCTTACTACCTGTAAGCATACAAGTATCAAGAGGATTTAATGCCTTGATGAATGTAAGCTTAAGCATGACTGAGGAGAACAAAGTCTGCCAGGATTTTGTTGAATAGCGAGGAGTTCCGGCACTGAATTGTCTGTAACTGGCAGCACGATGTTTAGTTATTGTTGCATTCCCTTTAAACACTTCTGTTCATCTTGGGGCTAGGAATTCACAACCATCTCAGACCACATACTGACCAAGTTATAAGAATGAAACCTACATAACCTCATTGTATCAACAACTTAAATCCAGTCTTGCACTAGCAACAGAAAGTGTGCATTATAATTCAATTCAATGAGAACAGCATGGCAGAATTCAACCATGGAATTCCGTTTACATTTGGTTCTTCATTTGTGTTGCATGAACTTTGCTAATTTCAACCCAACTGCACCCAGGAAGCTTAGTTGCACTTCTCTCGTTCATTGCTTCCCGCACCTTTCTGGCTTCATCCCATTGTTCTGTCGATGCATAGATACTTGAAAGTAGCATATAATTTCCAGTATTCCCAGGTTCTAACACGAAGAGTTTCTCGGCAACACTTTCTGCAATCTTGACATTTCCATAAGTTCTACATGCAGCAAGCAGAGCTCCTAATGCTCCAGGCTGTGGTCCCATAGGCATGCTTTTTACCAAATTGTAGGCCTCATTGAGTTTCCCAGCACGTCCCAGCATATCGACCACACATGTGTAGTGATCAGCATCAGGCTCAATATTGTAAACTTTAACCATGCTTTCCCAGTACTTCATTCCATCTTCAACGAGTCCTGCATGGCAGCAGGCAGTGAATACCCCAACAAATGTGATGCCATCGGGTTCAATATTTTCTGCTAGCATTCTCCGGAAGATCTCAAGCGCTTTAACCCCATGACCATGAGAAGCAAGGCCTGTAATTAATGCACTATAAGAGAAAACATCCTTCCAGGGTATCTTCTCAAATATACCACATGCCTCTTCCATATTCCCACACTTGGCATGCATGTCAACTAGTGCAGTGAGCACTTGTTCATTCTGTTCTATACCTTCTCGATCCACATATGACCCAATCCAATTTGCAAGATCAGCACGGCCCAATTGTGCCAATGCAGAAATCACAGCTGTCATGGTGAAAGCATCTGGCTTTACCGGTGCCTTTTCCATTCTCCGGAAAAGTGAAAGCGCTTCACTTGGTCTCCCATTTTGTGAATACCCTGAAATCAGGGCCGTCCAACAAATCAAACTTCGTTCAGGCATTTCATCAAAGAGGCCCCTTGCTTGATCAATAAGCCCACTTTTAGTATACCCCACCAACATCGTAGTCCAAGAAACAACATTCATCTCGGGCATCCTATCAAACACAGCCCTCGCTGAAACCAGATCCCCACTATTTACATAACCCACAATCATCGCGTTCCAAGATATAACATTTTTTCCCAGCATTCCCTCAAACAAAACCGAGGCATACTCCATATCCACCCCACCTCTTGCATGAGCCCCTAAAAGGGCATTGTAAGAAACAACATCTCTCTCAGACATTTCATCGAACACCATCCGAGCCCTCTCCAATTCCCCACATTTTCCATACATATCAATCAAAGCATTTGAAACAGGAACACAAAAGCCAAAACCCATTTTAACAACGCGTCCATGGACCTCAATCCCAGCACAAAGATCATTTAATGCGGCACACGAGTTAAGCACAAAAGGGTACGTATAGTTATCGGGTCTTATTCCAAGGCAAATCATCTGAGAATACAAACTTCTCGCTTCGGCACAGAGCGAAGAGGTCTTAGAGAAAGCTCTAATGGCGTGGTTGAAGAGAGAGAGATTTGGGTTCACGAAAGAGGTAAAGACGAGGTGGGTATATCGAGGCGAAGAGGAGAGAGAGGCATAGAGAGAGATAAGAGTGGAGGCTAAGGAGGCGTTTCGATGGAGAATGGACCGGACGATATGTGCGTGGATTTGCTTAAGGTGGCGAAGCGATGTGCAAGCTTTTAGCAGAGAGGCAGCTCCATCTGCTTTGTTGTTGGGATGGTTTTTGGTGACCGTTGTTGGTCTCATTTCATCTCACTTCTCAAAAATTTCAAAGTTCGTTGGTTTAACGGGTCTTTGATCCTTTCCCGGTAAAAATATAACATGAGAAAATTATGCGCAACAGTATTATCTAATTTTTTGATACTATTATAATATGAATGAATTAATAAATAGTGTGCTTGTTACACTCACAATTTTATCTTATTTTCTATACGCTTGTTATAATACAAATGAATTAATATTTTCTCTTTTTAAAAAAAAATATAAATGATATTTTACTTAAACTCATCTAAACTACGAGGAGAGGGATTCAAACTCAGGTGCAAAGTGAGGAGCACATCCACTCTAGCCAACTTGGCTAAGTCCATGTGTGCAATGAATTAATATTCTCTCACTCAAATTATCTCGCTAGAATGAATCTCGCATGAATCTTGCAGTAATTTTCGTTCAACTACAATAAGAGATTGTAAAAGAAATTAATAAATTAGATTCTTTAAATATATAATATGCCATTTTCTCTTTTAGCAGGAAAGATCTTGGAGTCAATAATGCAAAAGGAGTGTTGCGACCGAAAAAGAAATGAATGAGAGAAAGGGATATAAGAAAAAGAAAAGAGAGATCTTGAATTTGATCAAGTTTTTTTTTTTCGTTGGAAAAAGGGTGAAGATTTATTTGTTGCAAGAACTTGCAAGATTTGACTTAATATATATTGTTATACTTACAACAATATTGCATAACAAATTGTACTAACAATAGCTGCTCTTTTTATTATAATTTATAATTAGTTATCTATTTCTTTCAATACATATGTTGGTAGAGAGTCCTTTCTGCAATGCATGAATATTGTTGAAGAATATAAAGTTCCATATCGAAAACTTGACTAAATAAATTACAACTTATAATAAATGGTTCTACTCCTAATATATATAATTTCAATCTTAATTACAACAAAAACATTAATAATTAATTAATATACACCCTCACACCATGCACATAGCATAGGTATAGGGAATTTCTCATTAATCTTTATAAATAATTATGCTCAAACCATTCTTCCAACAGAATACCTTGAGGGCAAACTGCCATGAAGGCCGCCACCATGGCCTAAATTATAAGGCCTCTCACCACACTTGAAAGGAAGAGGGTTGGCTTGCATGAACAAATAGTTTCCACCAAACAAGTCGTTCATGTGAGCCTGCCCATTCTTCAACCTCTTCAAAGCTTTGCTCCATGAAACTTTGATCCTTGTGAAAAGCCTAGCTCTTCTCCTCAGAAACCTCCTCAAGCCCACAACCCCAACCCGTGGCCTCCTCCTACCAGTTAGCTTCCTGATCTTGGACCACCCACCACTTGTCTTCTTGAATATAACTACTCTGTTTTGCTCTGGTTCTTCCTCAAAGAGACCTTCGTTTCTCAGCCTTTGGTAAGCAAGTTCTGAGACTGAAGCCATTTTGAGTGGAAATGGTTATGGTGGAATATTAGATAGAGGAGTTGTATGAGTAATTAAAGAGGGTTGATTTTTGTTTTTATTTTGTTTTTGTGATTTTTTTAGGTCTCTCTCAAAATGAAATTGACAATTTTAAAAGTGAACAAAGTAGTTCAGGTGAAATGAATGCAGCTGAAATTTTTGGTAATGGTAGTTAATGAGTCCGTGATGTATTAAGTTTCCTATATGCTTAATCAGAGTAGGATCTCACTCTCAGAAAAATCAATCCTTCAAAAGTAGTCAGAAACTCACATTAAGGTTATTTTATAAAGAGTAACATTTACTGTGTTATGAATTATAGCATCTGCCGTTCTCGTGTCAAATAGTCTAACATATTTTAATCCCGGTCACACATTTATCAATATTTCAGATTAGTAGCCTAACATAACATATCGAACCGTCTTACAAAACTTTCTCATGGTTATCTTGGGAAGCCGTATTAGGTATGCTTCCAACTAGAGGTAAGTAGGCAGCTAAACCTTCCTCACTCTAATTATATATGACATAGACGTTCATGACCTTGAAACCAATCACATGCAAATGGACCAACATCGATATCATCTGCCATCATACTAGACACCTTTGGTTATATGAAATTAAAGCTTCAATATTAATGTGGTAATTTCTTTAACTGTGTTGGCATGTTATTTTACATGAATTATTCTCAGCCCCATCTAACATTTTTGGGATTTTATAGTACTAATTAAAAGGAAAAGACCTCAAAGTCCTCACTGATGTAGGAACCTAACCCACTGAGATATGCTAGGAATTCCACCATTCACAACAGTGAGCATATAATAACCAGAGGGAGCAACATTAGGAGATGGGGGAGCCTCCAAAACTGCATGCACCAATCCACTTTCAGCCCTCACCAATCTCTTGCACCTCAATTTCAGCAACCTCTGGTTCATGGATATGGAGTGTGTTGTGAATGGTGGTGCATAAGCACTAAACTCCACCACTTTGCTTGGCTTCCTCCCCAACCAAAAGCTCACATTAAAATCTCCCCCATACCTTACACCAGAAAGATCACCATGGCCATAGTTTATGGTCAAATTTATAGGTCTATATGTATGGTATTGCCTTCTCATGTAGTGTGGGGCAAATGCTTGGAGCCTAAGCTCAGTTGGGTAGGCCACATTGCTGAAAGTGTAGCTTTCATGAGGGTTGCCTCCACCAACCAAGACCCTCCCATCAGGTAAAAGAATGGCTGAGGAGGGATACATTCTAGCAATTTTTGTGGACTTGAGGACAGAGAATCTTTTGCCTAATTTGTGATTTGGGTTGTAGAGGTAAGGCTGGAGGGAAGCATTTCTTGCATTGTTCCATCCTCCAGAGCCTCTTTTGGCACCATTGATGATCAAAACATTCCCAGTTGGGAGGATCAGCATGTCGCTGAGAAGACGAGAGCCCGGCATGTTCTCCATGTTCCACTTGTGTCTGTTGCCTGTGATCACCATTCTTCCACAGGATCTTAGGCCTTTCAAGAATCTGTTTTGTCCTGCTGCTCTGTGGGCTCCAGAGGCAGCACCACCACACACCATGACTTCCACTCTTTGGAAATTGTTTGTGTGGTCTAATGGGAGGATCACTGATGAGCCAGAGCCTGGATAGTTCCTAGAGCCATCACCGGGTATTCGAGGGAAGGTCTTGATCACTATGTTACTTCTGTAATTGAAGAGAATGGAGTCCCGGTTGGCAAAGATGAACAAATTTCCATCTGAAGAGAGGTGAAGGAAGGGATAGAGGTTGTTCCCTCCTTCACTTCTGTCATAAGTTTGGTGCAAGAATGATAGCTCATGAGAGCCTTCATTGGAAGACATTTTTGGTACAAATTCATAAGTAAAGGTCCTTCTTCCACCAACCACAATGATCCTATCATGTTCTGGGAGCAATTGATTGGAAGCGTACCAACGATTATCAGCCAGTGATCTCTCCGATTGCCTCCAATCACACTGGCCATCCCCACAAGGCTTGAAGTATCGAATTCTTCGAGTGCCACTTCCATATCCACCCGTTTGTAGAAGTGTCCCGTTGCTCAAGAAAGAGCCTGAGGAGCACCAGGTATCAGTGTAAAGCCTCAGAGGTCTAACTTTGTTGCTTGAAATGTCATACTCCACGGAGTGAGCATAGCAGGATGAGTCTGCTAAATTGTCACGGCTCTCTGTGCATCTGTTTCCATTGTGGCGCCTTCGAAGCCTGTACCCCGAGGGGCCAGCTTCTGTTTGATCAAATATAACGACAGTGTTGTCGTGTGTCAATGCCATATGCATAGCCACTACGCCGGTGTTGTTTAGCAGCAGCTGCCATTGCCCTTTCTGGCCTCCAGCAGAGAACCTCCCGACTGCACCACTAAACTCAATACAATGCAATGTGAAGAACAAGGCAGTGATCATGGATTTGATTGCAATGAGAAAGTGATTGTGGTGCGCCATGGGAGAGTAAGAGTGTATTTTCAATGTGTTTGAGTGATGTGGGAAGAGTAAAGTCCATTTTTTATATTATATATATATAGACTTGTTTGCTAAAATTTAGTTTGCCACTCCCCAAAAGTAGCAGAATTTTATGAAACAGAGTCTTGCTGTGAAAGAGTGGAAGCTTATTATATTATTGGCGTGTTTGGTTTTCTTGCAATCATCTAGTGTGCTGCTTGTTCGGTTTTCTTGCAATCAAGGGGTGAAATTGGTAATCGGCTTGCATAAAATCAGTGGTTCAACCATGCTTTTGAAGAGTGAGTCTTTGGCTGATGGCACAAGACTACGCCAAACTTGGACAAAGTCTAGGGAAAAAATGTTATTGAATTTGCAGTTTTCTCAGCTCTGCTAACAAATAGCCAATGGCCTTTGGGTTGGGCCTAAGAACCCCAGCCAGAAAAGTTGACGCACGACATGTCAATTTCACGTTTGCGTTGGACATAAAAATGAAATGCCGTTTATTCATCACTTGGTCTCAGAATGACTTGCCATAGCTGAGAGGTCCTCTGTAGATGAGCCACAAGGTGAACTTTACTGACTGGTTATATAAGGTATATCTTGTGTACATATATATATGGAGCCATAAAACTACTTGTTACATGTTGAATTTAATTGGGCAAAAGTAGAAATAAGTAGACAAAAAAACGACAAGCAACAAAATTCAAACAAACACTGAACTAGCCATAGCAGCAAGTCTTACAGCGAGTGTTCTGTCTGCTTAAGCTATTAGACATGATGCATGGAGAAATATTCGCAGGATTCCAAAAAAACTGAAGATATGTACAAGGGGACGAGTTCCTCTCGACGAAAGAAAATTGTAACGAATTGAAATAGTTTTGGAGTTGAAGTTGCAATCGTCCAAATTTCAGGCGGATTAACGCTTAATAGAGCTTTATTCGGGTTTCAATGGTGCTTCTGCAAATGGGGCATAATTGAAGATCTTGTCCACAGTCACAGCATGTCTGCAAATTATATTGAAGTCCAACTCAGGTTTTCATTCTTGCATGCAATTCTTTAAGGTGTAAACAACGTATAGATGGATTACCTGATGTCCACAACCAAATGCCATATTCTTCGGATCAGTTAGGCAAATGGGACAGACCTGTTAGAATCACAAAAATATAAGTATTTGATGTCCATGGCGTATGTTAAGCCTACTCATCAAAAGATTCAGTGGCACAGCATGATAATTATACTAGAAACAAACACAACTCAACTACAGAAGTAGAAAGAGGGCAAGTACATGATTATCAGAAGCTGAACTTGCAGGACGAGCTGTGCTAACAAACTCATCACGTTGCCTGGATGGTGCACTTGGACGAAAATTACTTGATTGTGATGGTTTTGGCATGCTAAAAGGAGCTGAACCATAATGAGGAGGGGGAAGAGGTACCCTATCTACAGCCTTCCCTCCAGTAGAACTACATAAGCAATGAAAGGAAAGGATGATTTGCAAATGAATTTATGTCACCCAGGCTCCCAGCTGCAATAGCAAATCCCTCAAACCCCACTAGACAGGAGTTAGATTATTACCCTAATATATTAAGCTCGAGGGTTGCCTTATATTGGGAGGGTATTTCCATCAATGCTGCAAGAGCAAATTCTGCTTCTTTTCTCGAACGATCCATATTCTTTGTCATAATTTCTGTAAAATTCACAAACTACAGAAGACAAAAGAAAGCAGCAACTTTCAGTTGAAGTTTGAAGAGATAAGAGACACGAACACTTACATACTCCATCAAGATGAAATCCGCTATACTTGCCTGAAAGTTATCGAAGGCCCGAGCAGGGATGTTATCATCAAATTCCTTCATCATATCCCACGGCCCATCTCCAACTCCAACTAGTATAATTGATAAGGGATACTCACTACAATAAAACAAGTACATCATAAATAGATTGGCAAAAAGAATAAGAGCAAGGAAACAAGTCTAAGAATTTACCTTGCTTTCACAATTGCTTCAACAGTTTTCCTTTCCTGTGGGCTTAACTGGCCACGCTCTGTATCAACACTCCTGGTCACCTATGACAATTTTCAGTCTCCTTTAATAATTTAACACAAGAAATCATATCATTATGCAAAGCCTTTGCTGCTTGATCAGACAATTCTCGGACAGATAACTATAAGATATGACCAAAAACAATGTACCTGTCCATCAGCTATTATCACCAACACATGGTACTGACCACCACTTTGCTCAACAATAGTAATGGCCATTTCAATAATAGGGGCAAATGATGTGGGCCCTGTCACAAGAAAAGAAGGGTATGAATCTCCATAAGCAAATAATCAACCAAGAAAAACAAGGGAAAAGGGAGTGAAACAAATTGCAACCGGCAAGTCGTAGCTGAGGGACTAATTCTCTATATCGTCTTAATACTTCTTCAAATCCATTGCAAAAAGATCCCTCATCTGGGTAGAAACTGAAAACTTCTTGGTCATGGGTTGATGCTGCAAATATATGAAATCATATCAAAACTCTACTGTCAAAAGGCTAAATTTGAAGAATGAGACAACTGTTAGATGAAATACCATCTCCAAATCCAAAACAGGGAATCAAGTTATCTTCATCAAAGGAAGACAATGTTTTCCCTATAATTGATATTGCCTGTTCATAGGGATTTTGCTCTTCTCCAATGTGATGCAAGCTTTTCCGATGAAATGACCTTGCACCTGGTACAAAAGTAGGTTAAGAATGTTTCACTATAACTGATAAAAAGACTTCTAAGCACCCAGACCAGGGAAAACCTGTCCACTCGTTGCTCTTTGTGAAATCAATGCCCACAATAAGATTGGAAGACTCCAAACCAGCACGTGCCAATGCATCTGTGACCTATCAAAAGATGAGAGTAATACAGAATGTCATCATAATTACTCAAGCGACATTAGCAATTACAACGATCTGAAATCATATTTGCTTCAAATTCAGATGACAAGAATATAAAAATGCACGTAGGCAATCAAATAGTCTTTTTTTTCATGTTCAGAGAGAGAGAAGGGGGATATATAAAAAAAAAAACATCTTGCGATGAACTATTCCACTTGAAGACAACCGTTGAGTACATTCTGACTAAAACCAAGCTCTCCACCACATAAAAGAAATTGACTGTACTTTTTACGTTCTGCAATTGCATCAGTTCAATTACCTGCTCCAGGCTGTTGTAATCATCATCTATTTTTGAATACTTCCTTTCCAACCTCTTTTTCGACCCTGGCCAAGCACTGCTGTGGCTTTGAGGTGGTGGTGCAAAATGCTGCTGTTGCCCATAGTCTTGGCTTGGTGGTGCATATGGTTGTGCATATGGTACCTCTGGATAACTTTGTTGACTCCAAGAATGCGATCCAGACCCAAAAGAAGGCTGTCTCGAAGTAGTACGTTTCGAAATTATCCCACCCATCAATTGTATATTCTACAGGAACACTACACATTCAACAGACAAAAATTAAGTAAATTTTATAAATCAATCTCCCATGGAGTTCACACCTTGAAAGGCTTGTTCTATTAATCTAGCAATCATTATAAAAGGATTATATATGGAAAAAGTAACTAAAACAATCAATCCCATTTGCTTCATATTCTGATTTGAACATAACCTCAAGAAACAGAATTGTGAAATAAAGACAAAAAAATGAATTAAAATATTCTCCAGAAAATTGAACAAAAAGTTTAAGACAACCAGGGCCAACTATCTATCCCAAGCCTCATTCACAGGCAAAGAAATGGGGTTGAATTCGATAATGCTGGAAATATTAAGACAACTTCATATTGGGATTAGTGAAATGTAAGAACATAACCCAGACGATATCAGCACATTTTCAGGGCAATAAGAATGTACATCAAAGAAATCTTTTGCACCCTAAAACCAGATATCTAGTTTCTTGTTCGAATTCATAATTATCATCTAACAAGACCCAAACTTTTCACAACCCACATTTTATATTCTCTCCCACTTGACTCAAAGTCAGAGAAAGATGCAGACTTTTTACAGCTCACCGACAAATATATAAAAAAATATAGCCCCAATCCCTAATACCCAATTTTCAGAAAAAACCAAAGACATGAAAACTTCACAAGCTAAGAAAAAAGAAAGAAGAAAGAATTGGAACCTCTTAGAGAGACATTTCTGAGTTGAAGGTGCTGCTGAGGAGCATTTTCTGAGTTGAAGATGTTGTCAGTGGGCGGAGAAGTCCAAAGTGCTAAAGTGGTAACTTGGCAAAGGTTGGTTGTTGTTGTTGTTGCTAATGGAGTAAAAAGTCTTGAGTCTTTGTGAGAGAGACAGATGGATATACTTACGTTCGGAGTTTACTGGTGGAGGCTGGTTCTACGAAGTTTCCTTACACAAAAGGAAGAGTCTCTGTAGTTTCTTTTCTGGTTTTGGCTGATAGCTTCACCCTCCACTAATTGAATTGGTTGCTTCATTTCATTTTCTTCTTTTTGTTTTTTGTTTTTTTTATGTTTTATTTTTTGTTTTTGCGTGTAAACACGATAGACATCAAAGATAAAGTGTGATTGTGTTATCAATTGAATTAGATTATTAATAATGTACATGTGTTATACTCAAATTACAGAGCACATTATACTTTTAAGTGAATTTGTGACAAGACATTTCGTGGAGATGTCACGCGTTGTTATAATCAACAAACAATTACTCCACTTTTAGTCCTTTTCTTGATCTTGAAGTAAATATTATTGTCAATTTGTCATGACACTCACAAGTGAGTCAAATGATTTATGCATGTATACCTAACACGAAAAGAGATGTTTGAAACCGTGTGAATCTCATCAAAGAAAAGTTTCATTCCTTTCATAGTTTTAAAAACTTGCTTAAACATCGGTGATGACTTGATAGGGGCCCCTCGGGCCCGTCAGATTCCCATTGATAAAGTTTAGTTGTTCTTTGGGGTTTTTTTTCCCCCATTTCATCAAAAAAAAAAACTTGCTTAAACATCAATAATTGGTGTACGGATGATTAAATATACTAATTAGGAATGAGTTCATATTCCTCCGCTCTCCCAAGATTATAGTCAAAATATTGCTCGACTCAGGATTTAAAGGAACCTTTCTTTCTTCCTTCATGAACCAATTGCTAATTGCGGGGAACATTGAAGCACATAGTCACATGTTATGCACCATGCGCACATGTACATGATGAAATGGGATAATTATTTGTTTTCTTTTTTAAAGGTTTGTCCCGGCATGAAAGCCTAAAGGATTTAGAGGAATGTTAACAATCTTCACTCTAACCTTCTCCCTTCAACTCATGACATATGTTACTTTCTTTACACTTAAAACAATGTCATTAAGCCAACGAGGGTTGGTTGAGTTGATAAGGATCTTCTCCTCGCTATCAAGGCCTAGGTTCGAGTCTCATTGCCGACAATCCCTTTTGATGGGTAATATATAAAAACAAAAAAAAGGGCTAAGACCCCCTCTTTAAGTCCAAAAAGAGGCTTGGGTATGTCCTGGTCTTAGGATGGGGTAACCTCCATTTTCTCTAAACTTTTCAAAACCCAAAAAGAAAAAAAAAAAAAAAAAAAAAAAACAATGTCATTAATGTATCACACAAACTAATTTTTGTTTTCCAAATTTACCCTTATTAAATATATTAACTTTTTTTTTACAAGAAGTTAATCTTTTTAAAACTTTCTTTCTTATCACCTTTTTTACTTTAAACGTCAGTTTTTGTTTAATGTCCCTCTTTTTTTCCTAGAAAACAGATGTTGCTAATAAACTAGTTTCTTTTACTGATATGTAATATGTTTATTGTTATTGATATTTATGTTTTACTGTTATGTTTTTTTTTTTCTTATCTTAGCATTTAACTATCTGAAAATAATATATGTAAAACATCTTTTTCGTCAAATGACTATTCATGGAAGTGATATCATTTTTGTTGTGGAAAAAAAAAAAGTTATCTTTGGAAAAAAAAAAAAAAGAAGACACTTTTTAAAATAAATAAATAAAATTGTCGTTTTTCTTATTTAAGTTGTAAAAAAACCAATACATTTAATAAGGATAAACTTGGAAAACAAAAATTAACTTGTGTGATGCATTAATGATATTGTTTTAAGTGTAAGGATAGTGACACATGTCATAAAAAAAAAAAAAAGGGAGAAGGTTCAAAAGAGAAGGATTATTATTATTATTTTTAATGCGAAAAAAGGAAATTACAAGCAAAAACCACAAGGGCACGCAAGCCCAAACAGGTCGAAAAAGAAAGGGATCGAGCAGTTCAAAGGCAAGCCCGTCTCCCACAGCTTGGAAGGGGTCAGCCCATGGCCCAAACTAGTAACAGCATCTGCTAAAAATTTTGCCTCACAATAGATATGGGAAAATGACAGAGCATCACAAAAGGAACTAAGAAGCTTTATATCCTTCATTAAGGCACAAACACTCCAAGGCAGATCCGCAGCCTGGTTAGCACAATCAATGATGAGCTTAGAATCCCCTTCCATAAGAATATTGCGCCAGCCTCTATGGATAGCATACGCCAGGCCATCGCGAAGAGCCATACATTCAGCCATCGAGATAGTGTTGTTACCAATGTTCTTAGCTCCAGCCAATAAGACATGGCCGTCAGAGTTACGGATAACAAAGCCTGAAGCAGCTGAGTTGTTACAAACAGAACCATCAAAGTTTAACTTGACCCAGTCCCTAGGGGGAGACTTCCATTTGATGTGAAGAGGGGTATTGGGACCCTTCTCACTCTTGGAATTTTGGTGCCAATACTCCATGCCAACCTTCCCAGCCATATTGAGAACTCGAACAGGGTAGGGGACAACACCTTTGAAAATAAGGTTATTTCTAGCTTCCCATATTTGCCAACATAAGAGAAGAACCTTAGAGAGAATGTTGGGGCTATCAAAAGTAGAATTAGCTGGGAGAGTGCCCATCCAAGAGAGCAAATCAAAATTTGAGATAGCAGATTCGGGCGCTATGTTGGTATAGCTCCAAATGTTTTGAGTGAAGGGGCAAATGGAGAACAGATGATTAATAGTTTCCCTCTGAGAGTTGCAAAGGGGGCACTCCGGATTGATCTGTGGGAGGAATCTGTGTAAGTGACTCCGCACTTGAAGTCTTTTTCTGATAAGAAGCCACGAGAAAATCTTGACTTTAGGGGGGATGGTGAGTCCCCACATTTTCTTTAGAAGAGCTGCTTGAGGATGAGAAGAAGCATCATGTACCTGCACATTATAAGCACTTTCAAAAGAGAAGGTTGCTAGTATTCTTCAAGGAGTTAAATGAAAAAATATGAAAAGAATCAATCCCGCTTGTCTAAGGACATGAAAATGAGGTCCTTTGTGAAGACCAAATTCATCTTAACCACAAGATTATGTTTAATTAGATCCAACCGCTTAAAATATTTTCCAACTTAAGGCCAAAACCTTTCTTTTTCCCAACAAGTTCACATTGGTTTACTCATTCCTCAATGCCATTCTCCCTCTTTGATTTTCGATAGAAATCAATTTTCATGGTTGAGTCAATTGTGCTCTTCCTTAACGACAACATAACAATTTTTTGTTTCAGAGGATTGATGAGTTTTCCTTAATTTCAAAATTTGATCTGATTCTGACCCATCATCCTTGAATTCGTTTCTGTAGCTAAAAATATATGAAAGCTTGTGTGATATAATTCAATCTGGTTAAACACAAATTTGGGAGAAAATCAGCTCAAAGTAAATTAACCGTACGCCCTCGTAGCCAAATAAAAAAAAACTGAGTTGTGACGCGGTAAAGTATGTGAATAATTTGCAGGTCAAAACCCACAAAGAATTTGACTCAGAACAAACTCAATTTCCACCATACGTCAACTATGTCTGCGACACTTCAAAGAAAAGCAAACCCAATACACAAATCCCTTTATATAACTCTTATTCTAGTAAAATCCACTACATCCTGGTGTTAACTTTTGGAACCCCCTGCTAATATTTCTCTCGATTGTATATTAGAGTTAGAGGGAGAATGGGATTGACGAAGGAGTTAGAAAGAAAAAAAAGTTCCCAATAAAAAAAAAAGGTTTTGACCTTTTAAGTTGGAAATTTTTTTAAGCGGTTAGATCTAACTAAACATAATCTTGTGGTTAAGATGAATTTGGTCCTCACAAAACCTCATTCTCAGATCCTCAGGTGAGCAGGATTGTGAAAAGAATTATTATGGGATATTCTTAACCTTTGGATTATTATGATGGTTCATATTAAACTAAATGCATGTAAATGCATAATTGGTAACTGCAAGGGCTCGAGATTCATGAATAATATAGGAACCATGCAAAAACTTGGGGAGAAAGTAAGGGTGATTATATGCAGCCTTAATCACAGGGTTTTGATAGGGCAAATATTTATAGCAATAATATCAATATCTCTGTCAGTCCTCAGTTGCCTGTTGTCTTTCTTGGCGCTAAAGTAATTAACTTATTATTAATTCCTTTGTTACATTAATGATGAAAATACCTGTGACAATGGCAAAAGTTCTGTCAGTTTTCAGAGCAAACAAAAACCATTTCAATGGCATTTCACAACTCACAATGAGATTGATGGCGGCAGCAGCGGAGGCGGCTCCTAATTACTATACAACTCTTGTTGTTGCTCCTCCGGATCACCTCAGTTTGAAGAATGAAACAGCCACATCTAAATCCACAGCAAGCACAAGAATTAATATGATGAGACCCCAAAATTCAACCCAAACTAGGGGCTTAAGTACTACTACCACTATCGATGATCAGACTCAGAACAAGGATTCAACTGCAAATGGTAACCCCTGCCTTGATCTCTTTTTCAACGTTGGTGAAACAGACGACGATGAAGAGAATGAAAATAAAAAGAAGAATAAAGCAGAGATGGAGGCGTCGTGCACATATCTGAAGCAACTGCTGCTGCTGGCCTGGTCTCACAATCCCCTAACCACACCCTCAAGCTCATTTATAGGAAGCTAAAGTGTGATGGAAAATGCTATATGAGGAAGCGTTTTACACGGCCGCCTATTGGCTCCACCACAACCTGTTGGAAAAATGGCTCACATTTAGTATGCAAGTGAAGGAGTGAGCGACCGGTCGCAAGGTTTGAGCGACCGGTCGCAAGGTTTGGGCGACCGGTCGTTTTTCACAGATTCGAAGGCTGGAGAAATCGCAGAAAGCGACCGGTCGCAAGGTATCAGCGACCGGTCTCAATGTATCCATAAGGTATCAGCGACCGGTCGCAATGTATCGGCGACCGGTCGCCAGTGTTGCTGTGCTGTTTTTTCCATGCGTTTTTCAAGGTGTCTTCACATGTGTCGGTTTCCTACCTAATCCCTCGAGCTTCCAAGGAGTTTTATGGGTTCTAGGATGTCTAGCAAGGTGCTGGAAAAGCTGGAGCACCATTGAATGAGGATAGTTGACTTGTTTCAAAGAGTACCTA